TCTGATCTTAGTTTTGAGATTTGACCTTTACTTGGCCTTCGAAAGGTCAAAAAGTTGGTTTTCAAATTGGTTATTTAATCACAAAAGACTTACTGAGCTCAGCAAAAGTAAAATTTTCAAGGTCAAAGGTCAAGGTCATCAAACCAACTCACAAACTGTGCTATCTAGGTTTCTCGAGTTGAAACACACTCTTCTAAAGGTTTTATACACTGTGTGAGCATAGGGCCGTGTGTCCTTCATAAGTTTTTCAATTATCAATAATTTTTCACTGGAAAAACTTTTGGAAAAAGCATTCTTATATACAAAATCTTTTGTTTAACTTATAATCAATTTTCATTATAATTACAGCTTTCAAAGATGACGGCCAACTTCTATTATGGAACGATTTTTCAGTGCTAGCTTATGTACCGGCTTATACAGGGTGTCAAAAAACAACGGCATCCTCTCTACAGAAAAAAACTCCTTAATGTTACATTGCGTGTCATATCTCATTTGAAAGCTAATTTAGTACAATATCTATATAGATCATGTGACACACACAGAATAAATAATTATGGCAATCGAGTACTGCAACTGTAAAGCAAATAACTTGTTCATTGCATTCATATTCATTCTAGCCCATGGATAGATTACATAAGTATTAAATGAATACATTAAATACAGCAAAAACCACTGGTACTCACCTAGTTACGCTGACGATACTTCAGCGTAACAAGATGGAAGAACATCCGGGCTTCGTTTTCGGTAAGATATTTTTATTTCTCGATTTTACACTACTTATGAGTCAAGTTGTGGACAATAATTTGGCTCAAAGTTAAGGAAGATAGTCTAGTTTGAGAATATCGTCAGCGTAACTAGGTGAGTACCAGTGAAAAACATTCTTATAGACATATGGGTAATTATTGAATACGAGTGAGGTACCTCAGACTGGCCACTAGGCCTTATTAGCCTATCTATGAAAACAAAGCTGACCAGAACAACCCCCAAAACCACAGAGGGATTACTCTACTTAGTTGCGCTGGAAAGTTTTTCATAACTATTCTATACAATAAATTGACCTCTTTTGTAGAAGACCTGCAACTGACAATGAGATGAAAATCAATGTGGTTTCAGAAAATGACCACATTTTTTTGTCCTAAGATGCCTGCTTGATGTACTCTTACACTCAAAGACTGTGGTTTCATTGATTATTCCTCATCTTTTGATCGAATACGACACGATCTATGGCTAAAATTAATAAAAATGTATGGGATAAAAGGGAAATTTTAGAACTAGTACAAAACATGTACGAAAATATGAAAAGCTACTTATTATTGACAAAGATCGTAATCAGTCTGAATTCTTCGAGGTACTCTGCGGATTGAGACAGGGAGATAGTATTTCTCCACTTATGCATTCAGTATATTTTAATGATGTCGAGAAGTATTTATTGAAAATAATTGCAATCAAATTAACGTTGGAAATGAAATAGATGGACATTTGAAATTATTTGTCTTGCTCTATGCTGATGACACAGTCATCTTTACCAATAGTAAAGATACGGTCTCAGCTGCACTCAATATGCTTGACTGAATCATCATAAATTTTTCAAGAGTAATACACAATTGATAATTGATTAAAATAATATATAAGTATTATTGCTGTATTTTGCACTCTACTCGTATAAAATGTACTTACACGTCGCACGAAACTGGGGACAATTAGCGTAACATTATGGCGTCAAAAAACCAAGACAAAACAATGAGCAGCATAGGGCGCAAACAGCCTTACAACGTCACAAACGACAAGCGTCAAATTTTTGTCAAGTTTAGTCAACCTAAAAATAAAATACTTTATCCTTATCTAATCATGACAAAATTCACAGGGTAGCAAGATCTCGAGGACAATATTTCTAAAATGTTTTTGAATTTTGGAAAACGGTCAAGAAATCCACTTGGGGCGTTGGTAAAAATTGATATGTATGGAATTTGTGGTAGAAAATCGATGCGTCACATTTTTTTCAAGTCTCGAAAACCAGCTCTTATTTTAATATTATTTGCAAAATAAAAAAAACTGGTTACTGTTTTGTAAATTTCGCAATGACAATATTGTGCAGTTAATTTTTCTTTCAAATCAGACTTGAATTAGAAGGTTAAATGAAGGTAAACTTATTGCTCGTCCCATTCGCCTTCAAAACCTTACACAATTTTGAAAATTTTTAAAGCGTTCATATATGATAATTGTGAAATTTTAGTGGGATTTTGATCATTATTTCAAAAGTTATCCCAATTTCAACGAGCCCTGTAAGTGTAAAGTGTTACGTCTTACAGCATATTTGACGATTTTGGGATATGTTTAACTTTAAAAATATGTTGGATCCCATCAACATTTTGAAGAAAAAATAATTTCACTGAAATGCAAATAAAAAATACTTCAAAATGATATATAAAACACGGTATAAAACACATAGCTAGCTATTTAAATAAGGCAGAGATTAACGCTCAAAGCTGAAATCAGCCCGTATTTCCCGAATTGTCCCCAGGTCCGTGCACGTCATAACTGCTTTTGAAGGTACCAACGTTCAAATTTCCCTCCATTTTCCACAATTTGGAAATCCGCAGTGAATAGATTTTTCGTCGCTCATGACACCCCTGGTGTCAATTTTAATCTCTAACTCCACAAGAAAACAACAGTTTTTCAGGGTTGTTTACAGGTTTCATGGATTCATCCTAAAATTTTAGAGATGTTTAGAACTGATTAGTCTTTAGGCAGTCTGGGTAAATGTTAAGGTGGCCATTTTTCCATCCCGAAAAGTGTATTCTGTTCAAGGGTGCGATTCTGTTCACCCTGTGACTTGTTTATATTTAATTTCTTTTAGAAAATAACTTGATTTATAAACTTCAGAGTGGTTTTCTACCGAAACACAGTACAGTTAATTAATCAATCAATATTGTTCATGGTTTTCATGCTCAAATTGATAATAGTCGAAATTTTCGCTCTGTTTTTCTTGACCTGACGTCAGCTTTTGACTTAAGTCCGCACAAACTTTTGTTACTTAAACTTAAAAGTTATGGTTGTTGGGAAAACTTTATTAAACTGATGACTTCATATTTATCCGACAGAAGAGTAAAAGTTAAAGTAAATGATAGCTATTCAAAATGGTCCAATGAAAATGACAATACAAATGATCCAAATAATTTGCATAACAATTAAGTCATTAATGCCGGAGTTACTCAAGGATCGGCATTAGGACCCATGCTTTTCCTATTCTATGTGAATGATCTACCTGAAATATACATTCAAAAACCTTCATTTTTTGTGGATGGTACATCACACTATAATTCCTATGAGAAAAGTGTGAATTTCATCAATGTACATCAGCCCATTCAAAATGACTCAAATAATCTTACTCTATAGGCATATACCTGGAAAATGACTTTTAAAGCACAAAAAGGCGCCGATTTGATTTTCAAAGATAACTAGGAACTTAATGACTGAACCACCCCATTTACATCTCGGAGATGAACTGATACCAAGGTACAATAGTCATAAGCAATTACCTAATTCCTACAAAAGCTAGCAATTCTTTTCGGAGGTCAACCATTTTGAATTGAATAATTATATAAGAATATGAAATGTCTTACATCTTGACATAAGAAGAAGTCAACATATATCATATTTCAAAAGATTGTTAAGAGATTACAGGAGCCCTGTCTCCGTGCTACCTACTACCAAAATGGTAAACGGAATGCCTAGATATGTTGAATGTGCTTTTAACAGACTCAGAGTGGGTCTTCTTTTAAATCGCAGCTATATGCACATAATTTCACCAGTGTTAGTGATCCTTTTTGTAAATGTGGATTACCACAAACACGCGGTGTGCTCCGTGCGTTTATTCATTTATGACCACTGTCTGAGCTTTCAGTTGCAGAGGTATTAACCCGCTCTGGGCTCTTAAGGACAGTTGAGCAACGTGTGTATGTGTAGGAATATATAAGCACAAATGCCAAATGGAAAGGGTGGCTAATTGAAAGGGTAGGGAATGTCAGTTGTGCTTCCTCTAACATCAGCTGACCCTAGTCAGATCGACTAACAAAACAACTTTTTTGGGTTGTCGAGTTGTCCGAGAGGGCTTAGGCGCCAGGCACGTTCAGGCTAGGCGATTGGGCGCCGTAACCACGAGGTTGCGAGTTCGAGACGCGGTGTGCTCCGTGCGTTTATTCTTCCTTATTTTGTCTTAAAATGTCCCCTGCTTGTTAACGAGTGTGAAATTTTATTTGCAGGGCTGCAAACTTTCAACCTTCATCTTTTGGTTCAGAATTTGAAAACAGTTGACAAAATTCAGTTTCTTGTGTATGGTGATAAAAATCTAAATAACCCATGAAATGAAAAAATAGAACTAATGAGTCATTTTGTGAATCGTAAAGTTTGAACCAAATTGTACCACTACTTTGATAACGTTTTAATTCCTATGAATTCCTATTCTTGTTGACTAAACTTGCCGCTAAAGTTTCTTTTTATAAAACCTTGGCAATCAACTGCTAGTATATTATTGCAATTATCAGCGTATTAAATGTATAATAACAGTTAAAAAAAATTTGATATTTATTGGCAAAATGAAAAACCGGAGGATATCGTGATGATGTACTCCGGGCGGAGGATATCGCGACGATATACTCCGGAAAACCCAATATGCGGATGATATTGTGATGATATACTCCACTTGTTGATTTCCCGCCAAATTGACTCTATTTGGCATGGAATTCATTTTGCAATGATATTATACATTTAGTATACTCCTTGTAAGTGTAGGATAATAAGAACATCCTATGATTTTTTTCAGAATATCATTTTAATCTACTCGGTGATATTGATATATGCACTTGTTCGCTTTGCTCTCTCGTGCAGATATCAATATCACCTCGTAGATAAAAATGATATTCCTCAAAATCATAGGATATCCTATAATTAATCAAAAGTGCATGCAAGAATGATAATTAAAATAGACATCTTTTCTTTTCAGCTGTTTCTGGCCTTTCCAGGACCCTAAGTGGTCTACGAGCAGTTAGTATTTCATCCATCCCAATGTAGGTATCTATAATAGGAAGAAATTAAAATGAGGATACTTAAACGAATTCTACTTCTGGTTATTTGTGCTGTGATACTAATGACATCATCCATGATATACAACTTAAAATGGATTTTCAGAAATAGACAAATGAATAATTGGTTCTCACATTTCAAAATAATAAAGGACGAACCTTATGCTATTAAAGAACATTTGGACCAATATAGAAAAGAAATTAAGAAGATACCTGATTACCAAATCCCCCCAAATATGAGCACGACTTTAAAAAGTGTTTCATCGAGGCACGAGGAATATTTTATGTACATTGGAAACCAGTCGAACATAAAAACTCTACTTTTTCATTCCACAAATAATGACAGCGCTCGGGCGTATCAGTGGACAGGAAGCAGATCATTTTGCACCGAAATTGCCGGGTATAAAGTAGACGTTGGATTCTCTGGGCCGTGTCATGAAGACATGGAGCACTCCACTACAACCATCGCTATGCCTGGATGGAGCACCAAATACAAAGTTCCTCTCGACAGAACACTCAATGGGGACAGGTTACCATATCAATGGCTTTCCATCTCGAGTTTCATACATATTATAGAAAATGCAATCGTTTCAAAAGATGGCGTTGTGTTCACTGGCGGGTTGCACGTGATACCAATCAGTTGCCTAGATACAAGACCTGGAGAAATAAAAGCTTCAAAAACTCACTTCGCAAAAAACATCCAAAACAATTTAAACAAATTGCCTCGTTATCGAGAAGTATTTGTAATATCAGAATATTGGTCATATGGATTTTATCACGCCATGGTAGAATCTGTTTCCAGATTGTTTCGATATATAAGCTTTATAGAAAATAACAGAGAAGTTAAATTGCACGTGGCATGCAGCGCCTTTATGTTCTCAACACTCCAAATTCTATTTCCCTCGAGAAATGTTTCTGATCTCGTTGTGTGTGATTCGAAACCAATAATCTCTGAAATAGTTTATTTCCCTGAAGGCGCAAACATCGCCCTGGCATCAACACAACCGAAAGTATCGCAAATCTCGTTGGAATTGAGGAAATACATACCTCAAGAAGCACCACCTAAAAACTATATTGTATTAATAAAAAGGACTAAGCATCGAGTGTTAGTTCAGCATGATCAAATAGCTTCATTTCTGTCAGACATAGCCAAGGAAAATAACATGTCCTTTGTAGTATTCGCAGACAACAACCTTCCACCGTTTAAAGATACCATGAAACTATTTCACCAAGCTCGACTTGTAGTTGCTCCCCACGGGGCTGGTTTATCCAACACTATATTTTCTAAGCCAGGTTTAGTTATGATCGAGGTAGTGTGTAACAAACCTCATATTAATCTATGCTACAGATCACTAGGGTTGTATTTAGGACATCATTATCATGGTATATCCTCTAAGTCCGGTTGTCCAGCTAAACTGAATGTTGATGTCAATGAAGTGAAGGAAGCTGTTCGATTCTATGTTCACAAAATTGTGCATAATATCCTACCGTAGGAGGCAGAGTGCAAACCTAATCCTTGGGGGAATCCCCGCGTGTTTGCTGAACCAGCGTAAGATCATTTTATCATTGTCAAGGGATAGAAACGCGTCCAATGTTGTCGTCTGGTACAGCTACTGGAAATACTGGACGCAGACCTCCATTTTTGTTCCAGAGAGAGGCATGTGTAATTTTACTCGGTAGCCTGTGATCGTTTATACAGTATGTCATTACCTAAAAACCCGGGCCTAAAACCAGACTCATCAGATTCCCAGTACATTGGGAAACATCCAATTCTTATGAAATGACAGATATCCATCAAGTTTTTCTGTTATGTGGGGTTAAGCACAGAAATATTTTGATTTTTTTCAGAAAATACACGAATCGAGTTATATATATATTTTTTTTTACCATTTCATTGACAAGATATGCAATTTTCTTGTGTATGAACTAACAATACAGACTCCAATCTGCAGCTTAAAAGTGATCGATAAAAAATGACGAAATTTTAGAAATACTGGACGAAATAAAAAATGCACTGGACGCCAGCCTGTTAATACCGGATGGCTTGCGTCCAGTACATTTTCATTTCGTCCGGTATTTCTTTAAATTCCGTCATTTTTCAATTTTCGATCATTTCAAAGCTAAATTTGCCGACTGGAAGCTGTATTATTATTTCATACACAAAAATTGCATATCTTGCCAATGAAATGGTAAATAAAAAGAAATCTGACTCAATTCTAGTATTTCCTGGGAAAATATCAAAGTATTTCTGTGCTTAACCCCACATTACAAAAAATCTAGATGAATGACTGTCATTTTATAAGAACTTTGTGTTCCCCAATGTACTGAGAATCTGATGAGCCTGATTTTAGGTAAGGACACACTGTAAAACAATCACAGGCTACGGAGTAAAATCACACCTACCTCTATCAAAAATGGAAGTCTGCGTCCAGTATCTCGGTTTGTACCAGACGAAAATACTGGACGTGTTTCTCCCCCCTGATTGTTCTGTAAGGCATAAGCTTTGTATTATTAAGTTTTAAGTTTAAGTTAAAGTTTATTCCAATTTTTAACATGTTACATATAGTTATCATATTATACAATCTGACGCAAAGCGTATATTGTAGTTCAAGGATCAAAAGTCAATATTTGTAAATACAATTATTTTAATGAAGTGCAGGAATGCAGGAAAAGTGAGATGGTAGAGTCTGCTAGAGTTACATATAAATTAATAAGTTGATGTAATATGATGTTTAAGTGCTGCCTTGAATTTAACTGTACTGACACTGTGCTTAATTTCATTAGGTAGTTTATTATGATATGATGGTCCAATATATTTAAGTGAGTCCCACCCAAACTTAATGCGGTATTTAGGTTGGACTAAAAGGTGTTTAGATCTTATGTCATGGCCATGTTGGGAAATTTTAAAATAGTCTTTAAAAATGTATATAGGAAAGCCAGATGGTATGTTTAAGCATCTATATACAAATGCAGCAACATTTAAATGATAAATATCAAAAATTGTCAAAATGTTTTCTCTTTTGAATAAAGGGGCAGTGTGCTCTCTAAAATGTGAATTTGTAATTAATCTAATACATTTCTTTTGAATAAGATGTATTGGTGTAAGTATGTTCTTTTTTACGTGACCCCAAATGATATTGCAATAGTTAATTTGAGAAAGGATTAATGAATGATATACTTTAAGCTTCGAGTCATGATCAAGGATGTCTCTTACTTTATAGAGAATGCCTGTTATTCTTGATATCTTAATAGTAATATGCTGAATATGCTTTTTCCAGTTTAACTTTTCGTCAATAAATACTCCAAGAAAATTAACACTACTTTCTCTTTTTATTGGCACATTGTCAATATGTATATTTATGTCATGGATTAAATTTCTACCAGGAGTAAAAATTAGTTTTATCTAAGTTAAGAGATAGTTTGTTAGCTTTAAACCATTGATTAATTGTTTGCAGTTCTTTGTTTAATAGTCTAACTAGTTCATCCATATTACGATTAGATATAAGTAAATTAGTATCATCTGCATATAATACAAATTTGATAAGATTTGAGGTTGAAGTTATATCATTAATATACATCAAAAACAAAGTCGGTCCAAGGATAGATCCTTGAGGTACACCACATTTAATAATATCTTGATTTGAATAACTGTTATTGTAGCAAGTGATCTGTTTTCTGTTTTCTAAGTAGGAAGTGAACCAATTTATTATTACTTTATTTGCCTGTAGTTAAACAGGGTAGTACTTTTTACAAACATATTTACATGTACATGTAATTAATACAGTGATATCAGATAATTAGCTAATAAACTATAGATGACGTTAACGCTGACACGTTTTTCATGTACGTTAATCCTTTTTGGAGTCTGTTAAGAAAACAAATAGGTCAAGGAAAAGTACTGTTGAGCTCAATATAGAAAAGACAGGTCCATTACTTCAAATGAATTTTTTGAAAAACTTGCAGATTCCCATGCCAGTACATTGGGAAACATCCAATTCTTATAAAATGACAGCTATCCATCAAGGTTTTCTGTTATGTGGGGCTAAGCGCAGAAATATTTCAAATGATTTTTTTCAGGAAATACACGAATCGAGTTATATTTCTTTTCATTTACCATTTCATTGACAAGATATGCAATATTCTTGTGCATGAACTTCATCTGATGATGAAGTTGATGATGTCATTGATTTTTTCAAATTCTTATCTTAAAACTGCATATAATACTGCCTGTAAAACAACAACCATCCGGCTATGCCTAGATGGAGCACCAAATACAAATTTCCTTTCGATGGAATACCCTATGGTTGATTTTAAAGATATTGTCACTGATGGAGGCCAGTGAGATTAGTCAGCAGTGACCAGTCAAAACACTTGTTTTAAATATACAATTTTCTTTGTGCCCATATAATATGCATATTATCCCGAACGTTCATTTGAAACAGTCGGCTGTGTCAAATAAAGCATAGAATTTGTCTGCATCTTATAGATGTCACTTGTAGTAAACAACAAGTTACAGTTGTTTACTAAAGCTACGTTCACACCAACGGCGCTTTGATGGCGTTTTAAAGTTGCTTGTAAGCGGCACCAAAGCGTAACAAAGCGTAATAGGTCTTAGAAAAGCTCGGAGTAAAGCGGGATATTCGGCAAGAGCGCCAAACATTTTTAAAGCTACTTTCACACCAACGGCAGTGTCAGATATTGATGAAAGCGTCAGACCTCGTGTCAGATCTTCATGCCAGATCGTAGCAAAGCTTGAGACATCTTAGAAGCAAAGCGTGTCAAGTGGTAACAGACCGTAAAGAGACTGGGGTCCCCGCTTTGAACCAAGCTCTGTTAAGCTTTCCTACGCTTTGGGTCAAGCTTTGCTGAGCTTTGTTACGTTTTGTTAAGCTTTGATACGCTCTCGGCGCTTTAATCAATAAGTTTGACTTAAACTGTTTTAAGTCAAACTACTTAAAACAGTTTAAAAAATTTGGGTGCTCTTGCCGAACATCCTGCTTTACTTCGAGCTTTTCTACGACCTATTACGACCCCGACGCTTTAATCAAGCTTTGTTACGCTTTGGTGCCGCTTACAAGCAACTTTAAAGCGCCATCAAAGCGCCGTTGGTGTGAACGCTTTGGTGCCGCTTTTACAAGTCCCTCAAAGCGCCATGCTTTGGTGCCGCTTTGCTCGCCGATTTAAAGCGTGCCATTCGCCGTTGGGGTGAACGTAGCTTAATGGGGAGTTTAAGCTTGCATATAAAATCGAAACACCAACCTATACGTATGATCAATCGCCCATTCAAATGCATCGCATAAATATTTTCCGTTCACGTTTAGGTTGTGAAAAACATTGCAAGCTTAAACTCACACCATTACTATGTCATCTTAACCCCCCCCCCCTATACACGTTAGTCTAATAATCTACACTAGTGAGAGTAAGGCGGAATTGGACTGAAAATATCGAAAAATGTTACACTAAGTTGCTTTCTTTATCTCCTTTTTTCAGTAACAAATGTGTAATGTATGTATGTATAATTTATTTACCTCTTAAATAAAAGAGAGTTACATTCATAGGCTTAACATATAATGGACTTTAAGTAAGATAATTAAAACATATTAAAAATTATGTGTTATATGATAAAGGATAATTAATCTTTACCCAAGAGTAATTGTCTATGCCTGTGCAACTCGTACACGTGCATCGCTATAAGTAGCAAGGTCTCCTTATCATCATTGTATACAATTCCTAAAATCACTTTAAGAGTAAAATCATCGTTCATTACATTTAGATTTCCCCTTGCTATATTGAGTAAGGGTTTTCTGACATTCGTAAAAGCTGGACAGGTAATCAGGAAATGCTTAACACTATCTCTTTCGTTAAGGTCACAAAAATTACAAATTTCTGATATAGGTGTAACAACAACTTTTTATGATATCAAATAATGTAATTTCAACATATGTGAAAAACTACGATAATTAAGGGAAATTTTCATCTGTGTAAAATCATGAGATTAGACGGCGTACATAAGATGCGGGTTTTCATCAATTTAATGATTATTAGCAGTAGTTGCCAGGAGGTGGACATATGCTGGCACATACAGGCTGACCCAAAATGCAGCCCTCTAATTTTGGACTCGTCAATATTGATGGAATACACTGTATTGTCTTGTCTTGATAGGGTGTTTAATACGTGGTGAAAGCAGATAGGTAGTCCTATAAATGGACCAATGGCAATTCTGCAATTTGACAAAACGAAGTTCATCAGTCAACTGCACATTACGCCTGCTTTGGATAATTTTGATAGTTTTACACATCGTAGATTTAAATGTTCTCTTTTGAATATATATAATTTGGGTTGGGTGTTATTTCTATATTTTTCAAAAATAAAATTATTAGCCCATTAGATTTTTCTCCAAACCGAGACTTGTCTTTTTAAGTAGGACATTGCCGTTCTATGTGGGTACTTCTAAATGAATTCCCGGTAAAAAGCATTCGAGAAAACAATTTTTATGTAATAAAATTGCCTAAAGTGAAACTCAAAGTGTATGGGGATTAAGTCTTTGAAATTGGGTGGTTTGGGAATTAGTTGATTAAATGTTTTTGGAAGTTTGTTAAAACAGTTTACATTAAATGTTCTAAATGTTTTAGTGTAAGTTGGATGAAATAGTCTTTCATCACCATCATCATCATGCACGGAGGACTTTAACTGTTAAAAAGTGTATCGAAAGTTGAAATAAATGAACGTAAATAGATAACTCGATCTCCTTAGCGGACCAATCTTGAGATACCACACTGTGTTTATTAAATCAAACGTGTCTTTGCCAGGTCGAGACAGTTGTAGAAAAAAATCACTCTTGTCAACAAAAAAAATGTTCGTAATTTAGTTCATGGGCTGCATATTTTAGATCACCCTATATCACCCACAGATGTATACCTGTTTTACGTTAATACGAACTTCATTTTCAAGGCCGTACATATAAATGAAAACCGCGATGAACAAGATTGCAATGTTGGTAAAAGGGAAACTTCCGAATTTCAAACTTAAATTATCAATGTTGCTTGTAATCATAGTCTTCATTGGATCAACACAGGGAATGAAGTGGAGGTTTAGAGAACAACATTCATTTAGTAAGTCTGACTTTTACTGCTTTGTAGGCCGGAGGCAATGGTCCTCATCCACCTGAAAGTTATAAAATTTTAATTAATTGAAATTTTTGATTTTCTTATTTTTGTACATGACAAACATAGACATAACACTAATCAACTATTCTTAATTATTCTAAGAAAGATTTATGCAGATAGCTCTTATGAAACTTGACAGTGGGTACCTCAGGGGGCAAAATTATGAGCTGTTTTCATACAATTTAGCTTTTTAATAGGCAATGGAAGGTGGTAATAAAATTTATGTAAACAGATTAGGAGTGGACCTAGTGATCCTGGAAGAATTGAAGTCTTTGTTTCACACGTGACTAAGAAAAAATTGATGCTATTTTCAAAAACTTATATTTTAGAGAGACAAATTTTTGTATAGGACTTATAGCGAACCCCTCTGGTTTCTACATTGCTCCTTCAATTGAGGTAAAATTCCAAAAGAGCAAAATATAGCGTGACAGATAAATCAAACGTTAATAAAACAGTGAAATTAAAATCAATGTAAACGTTTGAAAGGGTAAGGGTGGATTTAAGTATTTAGCTACAGGCTAAATACTGAATAACTTGTTCCCGAGTATTTGACGATATTTTTCAAAAATAAAATTATTAGCCCATTAGATTTTTCTCCAAACCGAGACTTCTCTTTTTAAGTAGGCCATGGCCGTTCTATGTGGGTACTTCTAAATAAATTCCCGGTAAAAAACATTCGAGAAAATAATTTTTATGTAATAAAATTGCCTAAAGTGAAACTCAAAGTGTATGGGGATTACAGCTCTAGATGGGTACTAGTAATTTAGTGTCATCAAAGAGAGCTAGCAGTTTGGATTTTATCTAATAGTTGCTTTATTTAATTGATGAATATTTTTCAGAAGTAAGATACAATGAATCAGCAGCGCTCAGGGCTAAATACCCAGATAAGATCCCAGTAAGTGTTTCTCATTTCTTTACCTCATCGTAGTAATTGATAAAGTATAATACTTGATAAAGAATTTATTACTTGATAAAGTATCAACTTATTACTATATAAAGTATAATCTATGATGACTGGTACTTTACGTAGAACGAGGAACTCACACAACGGAAAACCCTTACGGCTACAGCCTACACCACCCAAAACTGCATCAGTCTACGTCACTACGTTACGTCAACAATTTACATCCCCTAGGTCACGTTGACCTAGATTCACCTTTGTCAAACTACTTAATAGAAAAACCAATACTTTTCTGAAGAGGTAATCGAATCAGGTTTACAACACTACAACATTATTGAAATAAGACAAGTGATAAAAAGCCTCATTTGGAGGGAAAATGCCAAGATTGGCCTAGATTTTGACATTTGTACTAAGAAATACCTAATTTCTCAGCAATAAAATAAAAAAATTCCCTAATAATCAAATGTCGCTTAAAACTGAAACTTTTTTGGTTAGCAATCAAACAGAACGACATCTTGAAGTGTCTTAGATATCATTAATGCCAATATTCCCCGGGGCCAGTTATTCATCTTTTCCATAGGTTTTGATTATCCCATATGCATATATATAATTTTGATATTTATGGGACGTACCATTTTTTAGATTTTGATATGCGTTATAGTTAATTCATTCACGTTAAATAAAATTATCTTTACTATCGTACATATGTTTTTGCAGCTAATTATAAAAACGGCTCCTAAATCGACGATTCAGGATATTGACAGACACAAATTACTGGTACCCAGACACTTAACTCTACCACAGTTTATATATATCATCAGACAAAGAATCTCACTGCCCCCCACGAGTCCCATGTACTTTTTTGCAAACGACGCAGCTCTTCCAACAACAAGGTGTGTGATGCACTTCGTCTTATTCCTATTTTCTCATTGTATCACCAATTTTAGATCATGATAAGCAACTTAAAATTCAGATCTTTAGAATTATCTTAGTTCCAAGACTTTAGGATGAATGTAATTAGACATCCGTGTCAAGAGATCTTGCTACAGTACGCCTTAAACCGGTCACACATGCGGCGACCATAACTTCGCAAAATCGATATAGAAAATCGTCATCTTACTTCTTTTCCCTTTATTTTATGCTGCATATTAATCACGATTTCGAGAAGCTATGGTTGTCATACGGTTCAAAATTTCAATGAAGTTCAAATATGACCGAGTCATTAGTTAAAGCCACACACAGACATTTTATCTATATTACAAAACCCCAAAAAGTAATAAATATGACACTGTGATAAATAAAAATGAGATAAAAAATATATAGTGACTCAGGCTACGAAATAAAGAAAAAAGAAAGATTTGCCAAGGCCGGGATTCGAACCTAGAAGAGTGTGACTTTTGCTTGAACAAGAGGAGTAATTTTCAGTTATATTAATTGTTAATTTTTGAAAATATTTTTTCCACAACATTACAATTAATAAAAATAGTCAATAATCATGCTAAAAATATTAAAATACATAACTGAGTAACTAATCTATGCCAAGAATTAATGATGTTAATTAAGTTTTCGTTTTGATAATCTATTTCCTGTCATGACAGTAGAAAAAACATGGCCTCCAAAAAATGTTCTTGCTTCCAATTTTCAAAACGATATATATCCATAAATCAGCTGTTTTTGGCACCTGAACCCATCCTAACTGTTTTCTTGGGGAGTATTTCTTGTAATCCCTCATCTTAGCTTCTTATGTCTTTAAAAGTCACTTTAAATTATTAGACTGGTCGTTATCGCACGTTTCGTGACATTTGTTTGATGAAAATGTTAATCTCCAGACCAAGCATTTTAGGTCACATTTTTAAAGAATTTTGGCTTGTTTATTTATTTTGACCTAAAATGATAAAAATCTAAGGGAAAATCTAATTTTTGTTTCCAGTTCTACAATGGATGTGATATACGAGGAATACAAATATAAAGATGGATTCCTATATATCACTTATAGCGGAGAAGAATAATTTGCAAAGGAGGAACCAATAAATAGTCTGGCTACAAGCCCTTGTGATCCTCTACTTCAACAAGGGTGAGAAGGTGTGTAGTCAAGTAGAGGGGGGGGGGGGGTCACAGGATCTCGTAGCTAGACTCGAATCAAAAGAGTTACTGAAGACCTCTTCGGGTATGACACAGGCTATTATGGCAAAAAATCGTGAAAAACTATTCAACAACACCAAACATTAACCACAAGAAGATGTGGGATAAAATGCCACAAGAAGCTGTTTAAAAACTCAATGCAATGTTTCTTATTAGCAGTGTATAGTGGAGTCAGTTAGCAATTCAATTGCACATTATATAAATAAACCATTTTTCTATTCTATAAATAAACCATTTTTGATTAAAGCATCATTAATACAAATATTTTTGATATCTTCCGAAGTGACGTTGAAAGTGGCCCCATTTGTTAATAGTAGACCTCAAAAATGTGCAAGTTTACATTGAGCACCATGTTAATCAATCAATCTTCAAAACACCCCGCTACAGAACAATAAAGAACAACAGAGTTATATAGAACAATAGAGTAGTTAAGCCCATATTCCTAGTACACCTATATTACGCGGTAAACACGATACAAAAATATGTCATATTCCGCAACGAATATGGCATATTCACTTGCGGTGTATGACAGATTCACCTGCGGTATATGGCATACAAACTAACCAATGAGAACGTGATACGGAAGTACGCAATTGTTAATTGCATCGATTGAACGAAATAGTAAAACGTTATTAATTATTGTAATGATTACTGAATCATCAGTACTGTGTATATATTAACTTAGCAGAAGTATCAGTCACCAATCTCGCATCCAGGATTCATATATTAGTACTCGACGCACTAACTATAATGGTAATACAGCGTAGTTTTACATTTAGAGTCGATTCTCGCAACCAATCAAATCAAGGCTTTTTGTATCACGTTTTCACCTGCGGTATATGTCATATTCACCTGCGGTATATGGCATATTCCGCAAGTGAGTATGACATATTCCGCAGGTGAGTATCGGGTATTCACTGAAATCAATGTGTCGCATATTCACTGCGGAATATCGCATACTCACCTGCGGGATATGCCATATACCGCAGGTGAGTATGGCATATTCACCCGTATCACAAATACCGCACAACCATGAATGTATGCCATATACCGCGTAACACACCTATGTGACACTAATATGACGATCTTCAAAATTAGAAGGTTGCACTTTTTCTTTTGTGTCTAGTCCTAAGATATTTATTACTCGTCTGATATGAGATCTATATGAAAACTCAAAAAAAGTTTGCAAATCCCCATTGGCTGCGATTATAAACCATTATCAACATGGTTTATTAAAAAGGTCTCTTCCCAAAAAGGCCACTATGACATTTTCTAATATTGCAAAATAGAAAAACAAAACTTTATTTTTAATATATTTAGCCGTTGCATACGAAATTCTAAAAAAATTCTACCATTGACGGTAGAGTAGCCCGTCCAAAATTGAAGAGTTATGCTTCCAAGGTGAAAAGTCGTTCCTTTAGGGGTGAAAAGGCATGTGGATTTAAAAAAGATTTAATCCAATATTACCCCTCTCATGGCCCAAAAACTGGGGTAAAATGGCCAAAAAACTTAAATATCAAAATCTCCAGTCAATGTATATCTTTGTACAAATTGAAGGTATTCAAAAGGAAATTGCCAATATTGCATTGTGTTGCAGCTCTCACATCATTGGAATTCTATTTAGGGCATGGATGTAGGCGAGATAAAAGGCTAAATGAGGTATATTACTACATTTGGAGGGGAGTGTATATTGCACCAAATATTTGAACCAAAATTAGCACTCTGGTTTCACTGAATACACTTTCAAAATGTATGATTTTGCTTCATATATTTGGTCTTAATTTCCAAAGTTCTAGTTAATAAACCGTATGAAGAATTTCTGTAAAATTTAGGCAATGCATTTGTCTCTTCTGCATCATGTCTAGCCGTTCCAATACATCGATATTTTCCCCAATGTCTTGTTACGTTTGCAGCCTACTTATAGGATTAAAATTACTTAGAATTATTTTCAAAGTTCAATTTCTGAGTTCAATTCACCTGTAGAATCAATAGTATAATTGGACAAATGCTTTTCAAGATATTACAATTATAAAAAATTATCGTTATATGTGTTCTTTGAGAATAGCTCTAAGACTGTGATCCGAGGAACATTGGGGAGATTTTTGCAGAAAACGACTCGATGAAAGTATGACAATTATTGGACTAATGGTTTTTCATATTTCAATATACATTTTTGGAAAAAGGTGATCGTCGTATTGGACATAAATTTTGTTGATATTTACTAAAGAACTATTTCAAATAGTTCATGGAAAATGTATCCGCCATATTCCTTCCTCACAAACAACCGAGACAAATTCATGTAGTTGACAAAGGCTCGTGGAACACCGCACTCACTGGACTGAGGCTGGCTGTAGAACCCCTGTCATGAGCGTGGACACCTTCTTGAAGCTATGAAAAATAATATCGTATTGATACCTCGCTTATTCAAACAGTATTTTTTGTACATTCCTTACGCACAAAGCAAGTAAAATCGCTATAAACACAACTAAATAAGACTTAACCATGTGTAAGAACAAAATATTAGCACATAAACCTTACTCGAGTCTCTAGCCATGGCTAGAGGTGATTTCATCTGGAATACTGTGAACTCCATTTGAAAAAAGCTGGCCGCAGTGTCATAAATTTATTGAATATTTTAAAAATCGCCAGAAAAATAAATCATCAATTAAATCGGAACCGACTCAACACCTTGATGAGATATGACATGATTTCGTCAGGATTTCGTCTAAAATTAAAACAAAATGGCTCCAAGAAAAATGGCGATATTCGAAAACTGGACGAAATGTCGTTAACGTCTGACATTAGTAACTGGCTGTAAATTCTAAGTTAGCGGTCCAGAAGATGTGAACTAATACACTGATCACTTCATGTGTGTTTGGGAATTTTTGGTGAGGTAATAAGACCAAAACTCGCAATTCAAATTGTGATGTGGAAAAATGGCGGACATATGATTTCAAATTTTATGATTACGACATGACCAATTGTTCATGCAGGAAATTATCTTTCCAGGAAGGCCACGATACAGTGGCCTTAGAAGAAGGTTACATAAACCCATTAATTGTTGGGATCTTGTAAGTTTAAGTTGCAAAACCATGTTCGTCTTTTGGAAATTCAGAATGATCGCTGCTTGAAGGCTTACCTCACATGGTTATAGTTTAATTGATATAAATTAATGCTAGCTATCGCAATACATCACTCACATTTGAAATTTTAACTTTATATCCCTTTACATCTTTTAATCCACCAAATGTGTTTTTAACACATTTATATACCTAGTAACCAAATGTGTTTTTTAACACATTCATACACCTAGTAACTAAGTAATCTGGTTAAAGTCTAGTTTTTAATTAGACTCTAGCAATCTACCCATTCGACTGGGTTACCAAGGGTCACAGCATCCCCATTATGACAGCATCCCCATAAAGCGCTAATAAATACCTGTATATTGGTCGTTTGACCTTGTCTGATATTTGAATTGAAATTAACGTTACCGTAGTGTTTCGATAAAATAGACCCATATGCATTTATATGAAAGATGGGAAAAATTTCTCCATTTCAAATAGGCCACGGGCGTAATTTTCGAGTTATTTAATAAGTACTTCTATTATGAAAGCCCAATGGACTAAACATTATGGGAAAACGATTATTATGGAATGATATTGCCTATATGTTACTACAGTATAAACAACAAGTACTAAGAAAATGTATCATTTCATTTCGCTGGCAGCAGCCAAAGTGAATAAAAACGTGTGTGATAAGTGACAAACGGAATTAAAAAATGTAACTTATGTCAGTAAGTCGGCAAGGCTGCACATCGGACAACTTAGGATTATCTAGTTCCAATTCCATTCTGGTTTTGCGCATGTGCAGTTCAACTATGTATTATATTATATTTCAAAAGTCGAAAAATAGCGGCGCTAGCAACTGTATATATCTTCATATTTCATACCTCAATCGATTCTAAACACAAGCCTAAAACTTTCTCTCAAAGCCAAAAGGTTATCGTAAAATAGTAAAATCGACTTTCGGGAACATTGGGCAAAATGTTTATCGAAAGTTTTTAAAAACAGTTTAAATCAAATATTTTAAGTGATGCGTTTAGTGTAAGTCGGAAGAAACGAGTGTTTCAGTGCACCGAAATAAATAAATAAAAATGTATGAAATCTAAATCTAATGACTCCCTACTGAATACAAAAAACAGCACAACGAATTGCTTATTGAAAATGTTTGAATACAGTTCAGGCCTACCTCTGTACTGAATGAAAAGGTAAAGAGGCCACATAGGGCAATGAAAAACTAAAAAAATGAATTAAAAATGTCAAACAAAACGATTACTTTTTAAATAAAACAAAAACTGTTTATATTTCTATTAATAAAGATAGATGTTAGCTTCAAATGGAGCAGGTCAATTTCTTTGGTTCACCGGAACATTTCATTTAAAATATACAAAATGCATGTGAGTTTTGTTATCGTTTAACGAAATATTATTTGATCCCCAATCCACAGTAGTTAAATCTTCCAATCCCTCCTTGTATTTCCATTTGTGTTTGAAATTTGCGCCGAGTCGGGACATAAATGCTCACTTCTGTCAACATAAGTTATTCGTATTTTGTGGGTTGTATATTTGGATCACCCTATAATTACAGCATTATAAAAATAGCATATTCATGCAACCACTCAGATCAGCGGGATTCAACAGTCAACAACTGCAGTCAGCACACAGCTTCTTTTTACAAGGTCGTGCATGTAATTCAAAAACCGCAATGAACAAGATGGCAATGTTGGCAAAAGGCAAACTTCCGAATTTCAAACTTAAATTCTCAATGTTGCTTGTAATCATAGGCTTCATTGGAATAACACAGGGGATGAAGTGGAGTTTTAGAGAAGAACATTCGTTTGGTAAGCCTGTTCTTCTGATTAAGGTAATGGTTCAAGAAAGCATTTTTGAAATCTTCGCATTAGGACATGGTGCATGCTGGGAAATTTTCTGCATTCCTCAATCGAGTCACATGTTATTTTTCAAACAAGAATAACTCCTTCTCCACATCGTCTACACCTTCCAGGTTTGCACAAAGAGTGCACGTATGTGCCTAGAAAAGCCTTATGAGAAGATTTGTTTTGTAAATTGTATAAAAAACGAGAAAATTCAGTGAAAAAAATTTCTGAAAATTTTCTGAATTTTTTCACTGAATTTTCTTGCTTTTTATACACTTTATCAAAACATCCTTCTCACAAGTCTTTTCTAGGCACATAAGAGCACTCTTTGTGCAAAACTGGAAGATATAGACAATGTGGGGAAGGAGTGATTCTTGTTTGAAAAATAACATGTGACTCAATTAAGGAGTGCAGAAAATTTCCCATCATGCACCCTGACCTTAAGATGGCGGACGGAAAAAGTAGATTTCGATAATTTTAGTTTTCATCGAATTAAAAGTAATAACTGTTACAGTAGTTGACGTTGTCGCAGTTCATGTTTTGATTAGCCTACTCGTAAGCCTCTACTATAGGATCGTCGCTACGGCCTTGTATGTCAAAGCATTTTTGCCATTACCAGGATACATATACTGAATAACATATTTGTTCCCGGGTATTTGAAGATTTGTGCCACCCCTATACACGGGGGTAAAGCAGACCCGATGATGCAATGAGCTTGCTCGGCGGTATCAAGACTGTGTAACGGGTCTTAATGTATAAGTGTGCTCGGCGGGAGGTTCAAACAACGCGGATCCTCAAAGCATGTGCTCATGGTATATTCGTGTTTTAACACCCGTGCAACGGCTTTGGGATGAGTAATTTACTATCGCCAAAGATAGCTGGCAATTCCGATTTTAGTTGTGCATTGGTTCATCAAATGTTGTCACTTTTGCAAAATGATTGATCTAATCTTTTTTATTGCTGAATCTTTTTCAGAATCAAGATACTATGAATCTGCAACCATCATGTCTAAATATCCAGATAGGATCCCAGTAAGTGTTTTCTTTACTCAAGAAGCTTTACATCAGGCCCATAGCCAGCTTTTGTGACCAAAGTGATCAGAATGGTGAAAAACTGCGCGATCTTAAAATAATTTTTGGTCAAGAGGGAAACCCCTGGGCTACTGGCCTGTTACATGCATATCAGACTACTAGTTAGTACACGATCAAGCATTAACGTATCTTTTCATCAGTACATCATAGGCCTAAAAGTTCTCATAGAATTTTACAAAAATATGTTCAAACATTACAAAAAACGTTTCTCTGACATCGAGTCGTTCACTGACTTAAGTAATTTACATAAATATTTCCCATGATGCAATGCTTTGGAAGGGACACATTTTCATTGGCCCGCCGAACGAGTCGATTACTTTGTACGAAACGTCCGGAGATTGCAAAGTCAAATCCACTAATTTCATTGGTCGATGGTTACATCATAGCGTATGTAAGGCATCAAAATGGCGACGATTACTCGAACAAATTCTGATAAAACTAGCGTGAATCTTGACAAAATGACAGTTTCCCAGCTTCCGCTCTTCCATCAGCCCCTAAGTTTCTTCATAAACTTGCACACAGTTGGGTTGAGATTTCAGTTTTTGTGCAGTCTCAAAAACAACCATACAACCAAGTATCCCAAAAAAGACAGATGATGTGAAACACATTCTGCTAGCTAAATATACTAACAAGAATAAGCTAGGTCTTTGAACTAACAAGAAAGAGCCTCCGTTTTAAAAAAAATATCCAAAAGCTCACGACTTTAAACAGGAACGTGCGGATTTTGCATGAGAGTACTGTTTGATTACCACTTCTGATGCTGTAGACAATGTGATCACAATCGCTCATCTGAATAGATAGCCTAATCATTTCATTGAATTCCCTTTCCAAAATGTTTCATTTCATGAAAACCATACCACTATTGTCTATATTATGGATTTGTTAAGGTAAAATACACAATTAATCGACAAATATTCTCGAATCGCGTTCTCTTCACGAATTCGAGAGAAAATTGGGTTTTTTTATCAAAAACTTCTTAATGAATATATTTGGACTTTTTGCATGTTACTGAATGTAATGCAAACTGTAGTATTAGAATTAAAACAATTATCCTCTCCATATTTTATAATGATAATTCTCTATGACAATAATCCAATCCAAATTTTAGATATTCTCCCCTGCCCCAAATTTTTCGGTTTGAAATTGTTGCATTTGATTACTCAATTTTGCGTTAGATTGGTTTTCATGGGTTTTCGTGATACCTGCTATCTTTGAAATTCAGATCTAGAATTTTTTATCGTGATTTCAATTTTATTTGAAAGATTTAGGGAGCATCAGCATTTTTGGCATCAACATTTTATTTTGAAAGAAGAGTGACAATTTTTAGCAAAATGTCAAAAAGTATTCCCCTAGGTCACGTTGCATACTCTTAAAACACATACTTTTCTGAATAGGTAATTGATTAAGGTATACCAACATTATTGAAAAAGAATCGAAGATGCGGGAACCCCTGAGACTTAGTTTTATAAAGAAAGGTAGGAGACATTAGTGTTAACCTCGTATAGTATCTTAGATATGATCTGTGTCAATCTCCAGGGGACAATCATCCTTTTTTCTCCAGGTTTCAATTCCCCAATTATCTTGGTATTCACTGTATGGGTTTTAAGGGGCGGACCAGTATTTAATTATTATAGTAGTTATACAATTTACTACGAGCTTATTTAAATGTTATACTTAACCTATTTATGTTTGATTAAATTATTTTGATATAAATTGTACTGTCTGCATATATATTTTTGCAGGTGATTGTAGAAAAGGCTCCCAGGTCGACGATTCAGGATATTGACAAACGAAAGTTCCTGGTACCCAGGGACTTAACTGTAGCACAGTTTATGTATATCATCAGGAAAAGGATACAACTGCCCCCCGAGAATCCAATGTTCCTTTTTGTAAACAAAGTACTACCAACAACAAGGTATGTGTTGCACTCATTGTCTTCATATTTTCTCATTGTAAAAACAAGATAGATCATAAAGAGCAAATTGAAATTCGGATGAACATAATAAAAACATATGCATTCGTGTCTTGCAGTTCGCCATTAGCCTAAGTCATATTTGCTCTACGGCGGCCATAGCTTCACAAAATCGACATAGAAAATCTTCATCGTACTGCTTGTTGGCATAGGCTGCGTCCTCATAACCTTGGGTTTCCGCTATCCAAATCCGCCTTTGCAGAAAAGCGAACGGTTCATTATTCGAATCGATCGAGAGATTTCAAACCAGGATTTAATTGATTTTATTAGAAGGGTTCCTCGTGATTGACCCAAACTACAGATTGCTGTAAAAAGTCATTTTCTCCTTCCCTTCCCCACTGGAGCGCCATCAGGCGTTTGGAAAGTGAATCGGGACTAAATATTTATAGGGTAGGTCCTAATTTATCTGAAAACATGTCAGAGTTCAGTGGGAAATCTCATTTTAAGCTGGCGGCGGAGTGATTTTGACCTTTGTGATTTTTCCAGAATTCTCTGAGAAATCTGACGATAGAGGGGGTTAGTGTCTTCAAGTTTATTTATTTCAGAAATTCGGTGGACAACCCATGGAAAGATTGTTATAGCAGGCTAGGCGAGTCTCTCCCGAACACTGTGGTATGTTGCACTAGGCTTGGATACTAATCGTTAATAAGATACAGGGTAAAATGTTATAATGGCCACCTACAGGTATGGGAAACTCTACTGTGGTCTTCAACCTTAACATTGGAGGATGGTAAAAGGCGGAATGGTATTTAAATAATGTAACATCCCCCGTAACATCATCCTCTTGTTTGACCCCCTCTGTGACACCATCCCGCCTGTGACACCCTTTCTTTTTACAAACAATCCCAGTAAAACCCCCACTGTGACGCCGTCCTCTTGTTTGACACATTTTTCTGAAACATTTTTTCGCAATTATTATGTACTGATCAAGTGCCAATTGTTTATTTTCACCAAATATTAGTTTTAGAACTTGATCCTTACTTTGCTTCGTTATATGGACCGAGTGATTTCAACTACAGGGTGGGCCAAAAACAATACCCAAGATTAAAGATGAATGACTCATATGATATATGTTAAACCATGCCATGTATTATATATCATTTTAAAGATAAATCATTTCCTGATAAAATGACACCATCCAATTAAAAAACCTTTGTTTTCTCGTGGAGTTAGAAACTAAAATTGACACCAGGGGTGCCTTGAGTTACTAAAAATCAAAACATGAAAATTCCCAAATTTCCCTCCATATTACAGTCACAGCTGTTATACTCAATATGCTTTACTGACTCAGCATAAGTATAATTGCTGAATTTTGCACTATACTTGTATAAATGTACCTCTTTTGAAGGTGCCAAAGTTCAAATTTCCCTCTATTTTCCACAATTTTGAAATCCGCAGTGAATAATTTTTGGTCGCTCTTGACACCCCTGGTGTCAATTGTAGCCTCTAACTCCACAAGAAAACAATCAGATGGTGTCATATTGTTAGGAAATGATTTATCTTTAAAATGATATACAATACATGGCAAAGTTCAACGTAATATCATATGATATTTATCCTTAAACTTGGTTATTGTTTTTTTTGGCCCACCCTGTTTATCCAATTTTGGATTCGCCTCGAATGCAGCCCTCTGGTCTTTCTCGCACGGTCGCCGTAGATCAAATGTGACATGGGTCTATTATCGCATGCTTCGTGACATTGGCTACTTTGATGATATATTCATCTCCAGACTAAGCATTTAGTCATTTTGAGGTCTCACTTTTAAAGAATTTTGGTTCGTTTATTTAAAATGAAACTAAAACCCAAATTTCGACCCCAGTCTTCTCTTGTTCCCCTTCACATTTACGATTTAACAAACAGAACGGGCGTCGAGGCTTTACACAACCTCTTAAAGCAAAGTTGTCAGGATCAATGTGATTTTTGTTTCCAGTGCTACGATTGGTTCCATATACGAAGAACACAAATACCTAGATGGATTCTTATATGTTGCTTATAGTGGAGAAAACACATTTGCAAAGTAGAAAAATGTAACAATTGAAACCAGTCGTTTTTAATGAAGTGATTATGTATTGAAATCTCTAGTAATTGAACAATAAAGCACAGTTTAAGCGTATTGCATATTTTTATGTTTAAAGTCTTTTATTCCATACTTGGACGTGTTACACGTACATAAAGCAAGTTTTTTGTCATATATATATATTTTTTGGGGGGGGTAGCCCCAATAGGATTCAAAACATCCTACACACTCTCGTGTTTTTGAGAGAAATAGTGAGAATTTCAATTAAATAATTGTTGTCAAATTGTGTAAACATACAAGGAACATAAGAAATGAAAAAATAGTGGATTGAATTGGATATTTATTGGATAATTCTATTCTTTTCAGCAGGTATTTAAAGTATTAATTGTATATGAAATACATACAGTGGCTTACTAGTAGCATAAACTAATTCCCTCATATAAGAATCAGTGAGGCCTCCGAAGGACTATTCTGCAATACTAAGCTATATTGGTGGTTAACAAAGTAAATTATGACACACAAACGAAAACGCAAGAAAAATCACAAGGGTAACTTGCAGAAATCGTATACATCAACCCCCTCTTCGTGGGATGAGGATGAGAGTGCAATAGTATCACAATCGCCAAAGCGCGTAAATCAGGAGAAGGAAGTCAGTTCTATTCATTATGATGAATCATTGTCACAATCTATCTGAGAAGCTGACCAACCCTTAAATTCTGAGCCAACGGCGCCCACAGAGCTAATACCCCCCTCCCCATCAAATGCCTTTCAAATGGATCTCATAAATGATATAAAGAAACAACTGATTGCAGCAGTGAAAGATGAGTTGATCAAAGTTGTTAGAAAGGAACTTGTAAATGAAATAACTCTGATGAGGAAGAAAGTTGATGAGCTTGAAAGGAATCTGAAAGTAGAACTAAACTCATTTAAAGAAGGTGCATTTGCCCTGAGTACACAATCAACAAACAAGTAAAAGACACGGACAAAAGATTACATGAGGTCGAGGAAAATGTTTCTCAGAAAATCAAACAGACAGCCAATTTAGATTCACGTGTACAGAAAAATTGAAACAGAAAGTGCCACTTTGCTAAACCAGATTTCCCTACAACGAAGTCAATCATCGTAAGAAACATTCCATTCCATACTGGAGAAAATGTGAAAAGAAAGGTTGAGACACTGATTTCTGAAGGGCTGTGTTATGATATGTAATTGAAGATTCGTTTCACCTTAGAACAGAATAATGAACGATTTAATTTGGAGATTTTAAAACTCAACTTTATTTTCACTTCTGGTTTGAGACTATACAACGATGCCACCTATCGGCTGATCTAGTAACTATAGCACAATAACACAATAGCACAATCATGCAACAGGCTGGAATTAGAAAAATCAATAATAGTTAGAGCAGAATGCACTAAAAGCAGACAAGATAGTGTACCAGGTGTGGTGAAAGTTGAACTTACATCAACAGATACAAAGGTGAAAGCACTAAGGAACAAGTACCGCTTGAGAGATAAAACAAAATTCCAGAATGTGTTTCTGCATGGTGCAAAGACACACGAGGAAGGATTAATCGAACTCAACACCAAAGAGTTACTGAGAAATATGCCTGAAAGACACCAGTGGCAGACTTGTAAAGAAGTCTCAGAGGCTAGGAAATGGAATGGACAAACAGTAACAGCTGAACAACAAGATAAAGATGAATGGAACACATCAGGAATATAGGAATTGGATCAACTAGACTCAAACAGCTACAGACCTAGGAGCCGAGGAAGAAAGAGGATCACGAGGTGGCGGCAGAGGATCTTGGCGAGGACATAGAGACTGATCACACATACACACACCTGAAATAAACATTGGACTACTCAATATATTTGTGGCCTAGCTAATAAACTACCTTTCCCAAAAAACATTAATTTCATCAAACAATATGATATTGTTATTCTGACAGAAATAAAAACTGACAAAAGCGATGATAAAAGACTTGATGATATTGTCACAACATTTGGATATAGACTTGAAGGCAGAATCCGATCTATAGGGGGTGACAAAATTACAAGCAACATGTGTAATTGACCTACCAATACCATACCTGCCAACCTAAGACCAAAATTTTGCGGTAGATTTTTTTAAAATTGCTGTATTTTTGCGGTAGATTTTTTCAAAATGCGGTAGATTTTGCGGTATTTTCAACAAAAATGCGGTAGTTTTTGCGGTAGATTTAAAAGAAACGGTAGTTTTTGCGGTAGATTTAAAAAAACGGTAGTTTTTGCGGTAAATTAAAAAAACTGTAGTTTTTGCGGTAGATTTTTAAAAAATACTGTAGTTTCAGAGGTTTGGGGTAGATTTTTGAAAAAAGTGTAATTTTGCGGTAGAAATTCAAAAAAAGCGGTAGTTTTACAGAAGATTTAGAAAAAATGCGGTAGTTTTACGTTAGATTTTTAAAAATACGGTAGTTTTTTGAAAAATCGGTAGTTTTGCGAAGATTCTGAAAAAATGCGGTAGTTTTACGGTAGTTTTACGGTAGATTTTGAAAAAATGCGGTATTTTTTAGGGTAGTTTTTTGAAAAACCGGTAGTTTTGAGGAAGATTTTGAAAAAATGCTGTAGTTTTACGGTAGATTTCGAAAAATACGGTAGTTTTTACGGTAATTTTTTGAAAAACCGGTACTTTTGCGGAAGATTTGCAAAAGATGCGGTACTTTTACGGTAGATTTTGAAAAAATGCGGTAGTTTTTGCGGTAGATTTTTAAAAAACTAGTTTTGCGGAAAAATCTGAAAAAATGCAGTAGTTTTGCGGTAGATTTTGAAAAAATGCGGTAGTTTTTACGGTAGATTTCTAAAAAACTAGTGACTAAAACCTGAAAACAGTATATTAATCCTGCTATCACACCAAACTAGTTCTCACTACGTTCTCGAAAACGGGCTTAAACTGTGCACGAACGGATTTGACGTACTAAGAACCCACTAAGAACCGTTTGGGATCTGTTACAAACTTCATGAAACTACTCGAACGAGTATAAGGTCCTCCAGAACTTAGAGCATGCTCTGGTGATCGTCACGTTCTGCAATCAGCACGAGTGATAATGTACTTAAGACGACCTGGACGCACTGGGGACACACTACGAACGGAAGTGTCGTACTTCAATCCTACTAGGGACGTAATTACGACGTTGTGTAGTCAGGCGTAAATTGCAGACGTGAGTACCCCAATCTAGTCCGTTTGTAGCTCGTTCATTCTGTTCGTAGACAGACCTAACTCGACCGAATAAAAATAAATGCGTTCTGCACAGATTAGGGACACGATGTTTACTATTTTAGAACGAGTTCAACCGTATGGAAATTTGGTGGATAATTCAGTAACATATTAGGACGTATTGAGAACGAGGTACAACTAATTGTCAACTGGTTTAAACTGATTAAGGACGTAATTGAACTGCTTGGTTACGTTGTGTAGACCAGACGAACGCACAATTTAACCCGATCTAAACTTGATACCAACGTACTGCAGACGGAATAAAGACGGGATGAACGTATTAAAAACTGCTTATGAACGAATTAACAAAAATAGCTATCACACCAGAACCAGTTGTCACTGCGTTATGCAAAACGTTGCCGAATCGGTTTAAACTGTGTGCGAACTGAATGAACGTAGCTACAACGTTCTACGGTCTGTTTACGAACTTCATGGACTTTCCCGGACGGGGAATGTGATTTAGAATTTTGAATCGATTCAATATCCTGCCGATACCTTATATTCGGTTTGATAAAGGAATATTACAGGGACAGTACAGAAAGACTTCAATTTTAAGCATGTTCCAAACAAAAACGGGAGATTTTACGGTAGTTTGGACAAAAATACTGTTGATTTTAGCAGAAATACGGTAGATTTTCAAAAATTTACGGTAGATTTTACGGTCGTTCTCATGGAAAAACTAGTTTTTTTGAAAAAGATTTACGGTAGATTTCCGAAAAATACGGTAGATTTTTTTACGGGCGTTTTTACGGGAAAAAATGGTATTTTCTTACGGTAGTTTGTCATTTTTTACGGAAAAACGAAAAATTTACGGTAGATTCCCGTAAAAATACGGTAGGTTGGCAAGTATGAATCTATTCCTTACAATATAAAATATAATATCTACCAAAAGATTCACAATATGTTATAAATTGGTGAAGTTATTAATGATTCAAAGTGCAAAAATGGGTGAAAATGTTTAAATTCTCCCAAATAATAAGAATGGTAACCATTTTTATAGAAAAATAATATATTATTGTAAAAATCTTTAGTTTTCCTGGAATAAAGTATGCACTTTTGTGATTTTTAGAAAATAAACATGACAAGGAATGACATGAGCCAAAAATACTCTAAAAAAAAACTCTCCGGCGAAAAAGAAATCTGGTGAGATCGGAATTATTGTGAAGAGAAATTTATTTGATGTAATGACATTTATTGATAGTGACTCAAAATATGTAATGTGGGCCACGTTACCACAAACTCACATAAGCACTCAATATGATTTGCTGATTCACGGTGTTATAGCATGACGGTTACGACACCTCTAAAAACGAGATTAGACGACTACGATCACTGATTTATCCAATAAAATGCCCGCGATGGAACAGAAAACTAAGGTTGGTGCAGTATTTTCTTCTACTGTGTATCAATGAGAGGATGAAGGATTTTTGCAGGCATCGCATTCGGTGATGCATTTAGTAATGTATATTTTGAAAGTATTCTTTGCAAATTGATGCCCTGGGATAACATGAAATAAGCGAGTTTGAAATTCAAAACTACACAAAATTTAGCAATTTGTTTATTTTTGTCGTTAGGGCATGGTCTACATTGCCTAACGACCTCGGGGTATATAGATGTAACCTACATACGATCATAAAAAGCCAATTGAGCATTGGAAAGCACCTAATATGTTCTACTTAAGCCATAATATTGTACTATTTTTAATTTGCGGTTACGCCAAAAATTGATTGACAGTTACGCGAACCTCGTAATTTTGCCATATTCATCAGTACTTGATGCTAATTCTTCTTTTGCCTCTTCATTGCTATAAAATTTTTCCTTGCCCTATTCAGGCTCAAACAAGAGCGTCTCTTGCGAGTCCTGAAAACAAATATAAGCAATTCAATATTCCATTTCTTACCCATTATAACAATTACATGGAAAGAGGCTATCTTTTAAAAAATCGTTTAATTGTGTCAAGTATAAACTTTATCTTCATTAAATAGATGGCACTTGAAGTGAACAACTGGGCCCGGTGTAAAAAGAAATTATGGTCCCCTAGGGATTATGGTTACCTTTTTTAAAGGCCCTTACTGGCCCTGATTGTGGATACGATAATAAGGGAAAGAGTTGTATTTAGGTCGCCATATAAATCAATGGAAAGTAGGACCATAATTCTATATATACTACCCTTTTACACCGGAATAGGCCGTCCATCTTATCGTCGTTGGCATAAGAAAAAAACACGTTATTAGCCTGGATGTAAATCAAAATATAATTAGATACAGGTACAATAAATATTCTAGCATATTTTAGGACCCGTGCAGAGATTATCTGATCATATTGTTATAATCCTTGAGCTGACTTTTCTAAGAGCTCTAGATAAGGAGTTTATTGTCCAGGTGTCCGCCACAAAAACCAACAACTGCATAGTGTTCCTAAGTACACGGGGTCATGTTACATTTTAACAAAAATTTCAAATTATGCTTTCAAAAATGTGTTCAACATTTCACTTGACAAACATTAACGGTGGCAAATGCATTCAATAATACATGTTATAAACTGAATATTTGTGGTGCAAACCACGTGCCCGCTCAAATAATGATGCAGACGTTCCTAAATGTTCCTGTAAAAGTAATTAAAATAGTTAAGTAATTTAAAGTGAGACTTATAGGTTACTCGAAATGTGATCAATAATGAGATATGAGTACACAATTTTAGGATTAACAGAATCAACAGAGCTTAGGAAACAGACAATCAATTCGTATAATTTGATCCGCACATCACCATTTCAATAAGCCGTTTTTCGATTTATAGTTATGATGAGTACCTGTGCGTAAAATGTTACAAAACAAAATGACAAGAACGGAAATAATGGTGAGTAAAACAGAGGATTTAGGAAGCAATTCCAAATCCGTGACAATGTTTTATTATCTTTTTCCTTTTTCCCTTTTTAAATCGAAAACAAGTTTTTCTAGACACAAAGAGTATGGGAATTATAAGTATAGGTATCGACAAGACTTTTTTTTCTAATGATATTTTTGCGTTATGCTATGAGATAAAATCATGTAAGCTATAATATCAATTGTATAGATTTATGTATTTGGGCTGAGAAATCTCCAGAGAAATAACGTTTTAAAATATAGCCTATGAAGTTAAAACATGGGGCTACATTTCAATAAACTTAGCATCAATCATAAAGCTTAGAAGGCAACTCAAATTACAATTATATAGATTTGTAAATGGTAAGATAAAACGTGTTCACGGGCGATATCGAAAATTTATTAACATGATAGATATAACTTTTAAGAATAATAATTAAACAATGTGACTTATGTATTTTCTATTTCCAAAACGTAATAATATTTACCTTGTTTCTACAGACAGTTGTGGTAGCAGATACTTTACATCTATCAACATAGTTATCACAAGCGAAACTCGAACATGAAAAGCGGATAATTAGTAAAATGGAAACACAACATTTTGGTTTA